CTTACTATGGGTAAAATGGGTGTTATAACTTTATAGGAAGTGCATATGAAGCAAATTGGATTTGACAGAAAAACACATGCCCATAATTCAAGACAAGGTATTGCTTGAACCTTCAATCGACAGATGAAAGAGTTCGAATATTTCCATCAGGAAGAAATAAAAGGAAATATCAAACTGCGGCATAATTTTTTTTGGATTCGTCTACAATCTATCAAGAAGACGAGAAGTAAACTGCCAAAGAAAACACGAAGGAGTTGTTATTATTGAAAGACTTGGAAGTTCTTTGAGATACTTGAACTATAACTCTAAAATATTTGAAGGAACCATTTGATCCCACTCTAAGCCAAAAGTTCAAACTGCTTTATCAACTATTTGGGAAAAAACGAGATAACAGCTAACAATTCCATAGGACTAAACTCACAAGCAACTTCTTATAAAATTGTCTCTTTGAAACAAACTCTGTTCAGACGCTGAGTTTGATACCAGAACATGTCTAAAGATTGGTTCCAGTTGGTTGTTTCATAAGTTTTGTTCGTTTCAATGTCATCTGTTTTTGTAGCTCATTTTTCCAAAAATAATTATTCTACTTTGTCATGCATACTGAGCGATATAAAATTTTGTACTCTATACTTTGATACTGTTCATTTTTTTCAAATTTTCAGCTTAATACTATATGATATTGTTAGCGATTTTTGGTAAATTTTTCTCTACAAATTCAAATCGAACGAAAGCGCTGCTGAAACAGTTCCAAAAAATAACGAGACCTTTTGAAATAATAGTGTTAATGAACGCACTGTTTGCCGTTGGTATGCGAAACTTTGTTCTGGAGATTTTAGCCTCAAAGATGAGCCCCGAAGTGGTCGTCGAACTGTACTCCATGACGAGGATTTGAAGACCCTGGTGGAGATTGACCCATCACAAATGGTGCGTGTGATGGCTGAAGAACTAGGCGTCAGCTCCTATTTGGCTCCTAAAACGTATTGGAAAGGTCAATAAGTTCGAAAAATAGGCGCCCCTCGACTTGAACGATCAACAAAAATTGTCACTTTTTGAGGTCTGTTCTTCTTTGCTTTTGCGCAACCAAAACGATCCTATATAGGATCGGATCGTCACGTTTGATGAAAAGTGAATCCTCTATGATCAGAACAGTGGTTGGACACCAATGAGCTACCCAGACACTTCCCAAAGGCAAAAACACATGAAAAACATGGTTACTATATGGACTGTATGGTGGTCATCTTTCACTGAGATATTACAGTGGAAGGTAGACTCATAAGAAAGAAAACTTTTGAAACAAACTAATGATATCGTCTGCATAAATGTCTTTATTAAAAAACCGTTTTCCACACCTGAAAAAAATATTGTATCTCGACGCGTTTCGCGAACAGATGTCTTTACTGAGAATGTATTTCCGTGTCTTCAACCAATTGAGGTATATCTCTGAAAGCAACAAACGTTGCTGAAGATAATCCAAAGGGAATGACTTACAACTAATAATTCTGTATTGGATCTTCATAGGGAAATCGATAAAGAATTTTTTGATGATCTTGATAGCTTCCATTCACTTGAATCTGATGGTACATCTGTTTGAAATCCAGGAGAAATTCGATGGGATGGGATGGAGTGGAAATTGTAAAATAATTAATGATGTCTTTCCGAACTTTCTTCCCAAGATTATTATTCAAGGATTTACCTAGAGGCGATCTACTGAATGCATTGAATAACACTCTTAGTTACTACTATGGGATTTTATAACATAATGATGATAATGATGAAAAAAGTGAAGAATATCAGACGAAGAAGGATGACTCACCGCTTTCATAATATTATTTAGCTATTATTCAAATTTGAGTTTCTCAGTGAGGGACTGAAATGAGTAGTTCAATACTGAAGTACTGAAATAATAGAGTCAGAATTAGTATTGAATTCAGAATTGTAATGAAGAGTTCGGCTTCATTGCTGAGTAGTGTCAACTACTGTATATAAGATTATCTCCGGCCGGCAGACTCTATTAATATTTGTTCACTTATAGACTTAAAATTCTAGGACAAGCATAGATCCGATAGCACTGTGACCAACAGGTCTGGTGTCTTAAGCATGCTAGGCTTGATAGTTAGAAGACCAACCATCACTTGTTATCGAGTGCAGGACAGTTGATACATTCCCGTAAAGTCTTCAGCAGGGCGAAAAAATTAACTCGTCTACGAAACAAACCTGGAAATTTTCAAGTGTGATGTTTTGTTTCTGTGTCATAAAAAATTAACCCAGGAAATTTCGACTCTGAAAACGATTCATTCACCTTTCAGATTATATTTTCGCTAGTTCAAATATTGAATGCAAATTCAATGTATGAAACAATGATAAAACCTCTCCTAATATGCTTACAGGTAACTAACTTTGAATGTTTCAAATACCTCAACCTAAAATCCTACAATAAACAAATCTAAAAGACCTAGCCTTACAGCATATATTAGATATTTTACTTAATTCAAAGAGAAATTAGCTGAAATACAATATTGAAGTCTGTGGTAGACATTGGTCAACATAAAAGCTTCACCTATGAAGCCTATATATTCTCCCAAACAGCAATTCATAGTCTACCAATATTCAAAGTCTGATCAACCAAATTTCCTAACCCAAAGTGTTCCTTAGATACTTCTACAGACATAATATTACATGGGGTTCGCAAAATACCTAAACTATTTAGAAAACATTGCTAACATTATTAAAAACATGAATCTGGAAATACTATGGTTCCGATACTCATTGGAAAATAGCCTCTATAAAGCCATGTTTCAACTAGAATATTTTCAGCGTTTCTAAGTCATCTTCTGCTGAGCATATGAGTAACACAAAATTTCATTGGTATGTTTTAATGTTTTTAGAATGTCAAATTATTCGGAGATTCTCTATGAATATTAGACGAATCGTATATTATCGCATCATTATCGGCATCCCAATTGAAATATTTTCTTCTAGGACTGAAAACAAATATTAAAACTTTTTGACTTTTGTAAGAAATGGATTTGTATAATTTAAAATGTTGGAACATTCAATTTAGGTGTGGTTTTTATTTTTTTGTGAAACAACCAATATGAAACAGACAGAGGGAGAGAGAAGTACCTTCATTGAACTAAAAGATATATTTTCTTATTAGTCAATGGGCTATGCTTGAAGACTGGCAGTAAACAAATCTAAAGCAAATGGAACTTCAATCGTTCAAGCCAGTCTCTATATACCTACACAGTAGGTTTAATGGACTGACGCCTATCAGAAAACAACTACACTGTGTAGGTATATAGAGACTGGCTTGAACGATTGAAGTTCCATTTGCTTTAGATTTAAAAGATATATATTCCATTGAGGTTAATCCCCTGTAACAAGGATTACAACAGTAATTATAACAAATGTTCAATATTACATTACGTATGACATAAATTTAAATTCAAATACAGCAAATAAATATTACCAAATTTTTCACTCTATCAATTTGTATTGTTGCTTTTCCATCTTCAGTGGAACTTCAGGGATTGTGAATGGCTGCAATATTGTTCTTTCATATTTCAGGAATATGATAGTAGTATTTGTTACTATTTCTCCTAAGGTCTTCATTGTTTTGAATTACAGAGCATAATGTAAATTATGCAACCATCTCTTTTTGACCTTCTTGCCTAAAATGCAGTAATTTCTAATGAGTGATATATTTGCTCATTTTGTTCTACTCCTGTATCATTTATTGCAATGACGTCAATATTTATTTTGAGTGTGTCAGCATTTTCATAGAACAAGGTTTTAACGATGAACGAGAACGAGAATGTTTCCTACTTATTCACCAAACTCAAAACAGTTGTTCATGCAGTTGCAGTTTCTTAAGAATTTATCATCTTTTCCTCCAACCGATTTCCTGGAGTCTTTGAAGTCCACTAGATACTCGCTAGGACAATAGGAGAATTGTTTCAAAGTCTTGGGGTTCTTATTGAATACTCTTTGTGAGCAAAAAAAAAGCAAAATCAATACTCCTGACCGATCTGGATTGAATGATTCCGTATAGTCTATCTCGTCTTGTGTTTGTAGATCTTTTGCTGAAAAAATCCTCACTTGTTTACTTCAACTAGCGTTTCTTAATATGACTGATTACCAGTCCGCGCAAAGCTTATTGTTAACGGGTGATGATAAGCTGTATTGCCAAACTGACTATTACAAGAAAACAAGTATATCTGAGGCACCAGTCAATCTAATAATAACACTGATGATCTTCAAACATGACTCAACCTCTGACGGAAGCACCAAACTCTTACGAAGGTTCGAAATAGATGAACACTTCAATCTAGCAGACCACTATTATAATTTTCATGCAGTCATTGTTCACCGTGGTTATGGCGTTGAATCTGGTCATTATTACACGTTGGTCAAAGATGAAACGAATTGGTTTAAGTTTGATTATAGTCGTGTCACTAAGTGTTCTGGAAATATCTTGAGATTATTGGAGCCTCTGGAGACACCCTACATTTTGTTTTATGAAAGAGGGGACATAGGCAGATCAAGATCTTCAGACGATGTTGTGCTGCAGGTTTTTTCGGATGTTCCTGCAGCCGAAAAAGCAAATACGCCACTGGAATCAATGAAGTCGCCCCGGGGAGCGCCAATTAATTTTTATTGTTGTTTCATAATTTCATGATTTGTATTACTTTCTTCTTTTCTGTACAATATTGAAATACTACACAAAAATATTTACATTTAGAATAGATATTCCGTATGAAATCGTGGTTACCATCCTTTGATATATTCTGATTTTTTTTATGTCATGACTGCAATATTTCCTCATTCTTTTTCTCTATCCATGATACCCTATCACTGCGTTATATAATAGATTTGATGCCCTTGAAATATCGAACCACGCGCTCTCCAACCATTGAATATTTATATATTTATCCAGTTCAGTTCGTGAACACTTTTCAACTATTTGTAGATAAAACATACCTTAATCTTTTATTTTTCTGTTCCAGCAAATACAGAAAGACTATGAGGAAATTGTTAGAGAAGAATATTGTCGAAGTTTATCAACTGGAACTCCATTGCCTTCTACTAAAGCATTAATTGATAAACGAAGAACAATCATGACACCTAACTTCTCAAATAATTCTTTAATGGAAAGATTTCATTCCCAAGAAATCGTAACATCACCTGACAAGAATATAATGTCTAAGCCAGGAAGAAAAACTATCAATATTGTAACTCCTGTCAAATCTTCCTCGAAATCCTCATCTGTGATTACCCAAGGTGATTCTGATTTAGAAGCTTTCATCGGTGGTAAAGCAATACAGAAGACGGTCGTTGGTATTTTTGATCCACAAAATAGAATAATTATGGAGGCAGGAAATGATGTTGGGTTTGATTCAAATGTGTCGGTTGATCAATGTGTTCCAAAAGAAAAAATAAATGATACTCATAATGACAATAACAATACCCAAATTTCTTCAAAGGAAAATAGTCCACCAGACACTCCTCATGATTTCTATACTAAGAAAACGCCTAAAAAGAGACAATCTAGAATAAATAGAAATATATTCAGCAATACATCCTCTGAAAATTCTATCAACGGCGATGACAGTTTATGTAAGAGACGAACAAGATCACTTCGACGCACGACTGATGTTATTCACAATCAGTTGCCTCGAACTAGTAACGACACCAAAAAAAAGAAGTCACCACAAGCTTCAAGTGATGCTTCGAATTTAGATCCGACATCTTCAATAAAAATTAATGAGAACATTGGCATGCCAGCCAGAAGTAAAAAACATTTGATTAAAGAAATTGTTGATAAAACGGGCAGCACTAGTATGTCTACCCTACAACTGTCAAACAATCCCCTAGTGAACTCGTGTACTACAAATATGTCTTCGTTACAGATATCTTCAGATACTGATAAAAACATTCCAGATTTCAACTCAAATAATAACTCTTTCAGTCCAATTCAGTCAAATGTTATGAACAGTCTTTTAGAACTGTTGGATAACAGTTTACAGTCTAGTGATAATATCACAAGACGTAAAAAATCTGGTTCAGAAAAGTTCGTCTCTGGTGTACAAGAAAGGCATAGTAGTTTCACAGAGAAAGGTGAAATAAACTATGAAAGTAATAATAGTAGAGCTATTAAAATCAGTTCAAGAAATCGCAGTAAGAGATCGCTAAATTTCTCCAGAATATCAAAAGAAAACTCTTCGTTTGATGTAAAATCAAAAACTCCACAACTTGAAAACTCTATGTCAATTGGCAGAGAAAAGCATGGAAAAAGTAAAGAAAACAATACAGAATCAAAAATTGAGAAAAATCATTCTGAAACCCCCGGCGGGTCAGAAACCACACAAAATAAATATAATGAAGGCATACTTGACAGTGGTGAAAATGAAAATATTAAAATTTGTACCCGAGAACCAATGAGGGTTTCCGAAATTCACGAAAATAGTAATTCACTATCATCTAAATCAGACAAAGAATCATATTCTGGTAAAAGAAAAAATTCTGCGAGCAGAATTGGTAGAAAATTATATGATCCCAATAGTCTTTCTCAAAAGAAATGTTTTAGGAATGACCTCGACTCGCAAGACATCAAATTAAATGCTGAAAACTCTTGTACTTCCAAACCTGAAGTTACCTTATCTGTTAGGGCTAAAAATTTCGTAGATAAGCATAATATAAATGTTGACAAAATTTTGGATCAACATTGTGAAAAGTTCGATAATGATCCAAAACCACCAAAAAAGAGAAAAGAGAATGAACCAGTGGAAAAATATATTTCTGGTAATGGACAAGAACAAAATGAATTGAGGAATAGCAAAAATGTTGCAGAGAAATGTGATGACAAAAATTTGACGAATATTCCTAATAAATCATTAATTGAAATCACTGACGCTACAAAAGAAGCTGTTGACGCTAAAAAGGGAGATTACAACAAAAATGAGGTGAAAATTGTGAAATCAAAGAAACCACGAGCTGTTGAAAAACCTGTCAATAGACGATGTTCACTGAGACTAACTCAGCGTTTCAGAAAAACTGACATTACTCCTTCTGCCGAAAAAAAAGTTGAAAGAGACATGTTGAAGGAAAGTCGAAGAAGTACTAGAGAGTTTGACGATAAAGTTGATACGAAAAAGAAGAAAATAAAAGACGATAAGTTACAACAACCTAGTATAGTATGTACTAAAATGCATAAAGATGAAATTGGGGTGTTTAGTCAGATTGTAAAAAAACTAGGTGGTTTCATAATTGAAGATGAAGTTACCAAAAAGACAACACATTTAGTAGCTGGAGAGGCAAAAAGAACCATAAATATGTTGAGGGCAATCACTACTGGATGTTGGATAGTTAACCAGAAGTGGGTATGTAGTTTTCATAATTCAATGTTATACAGTTTTTTAATTATTCAATGAAATTATGCTTCAATGTCGAAAAGAGATTTCTCAAATAAGGTAAATACATGTTGTAATTGGGTTGCACATAATTCTTGGAACCTTTGGTCACGTTCCCAACAGGATGGTCATCAGTTACTGATGATGCCTGGTATTAAATCGTTATGAGTCTGATGATTTGTGTTCTTTGTATTCTGTGTTCCACATAATTATCATTTCTTCCTAACTTCTCACAAGTCCTATAATTTGTATAGGTATATAAGTAATATGAATATAATAATATGCATCTGGAATGATGCATTATTTACTTCCTACCAAAGAACAGACAATTACAACATTAGAAATGAAACAGATTGTTTTGAACATACGTCCTGAGTTTTCATTTGTTAACAAAGATATGCCATTCTGTATCATAAGTGTTAAATAACCTACCAGAGTATTTTCTAGTAATGGCTGTCGAAAAAATCTAAACTAAATCCAAAAGAATTTGTGATATCCAAAGCCATCTTAACCACTGAAGATATACATAATAGTTTTTAAATTGATAGTATTCTGTGATGATTCTTCTATTACTCTGTATATATTTCTCAATTAATCCAGTAACTGTTTCTGACGTGAGTAGTTCACTTGTAGTTGTAGAAGTTGGAAATAGTTTGTTCTACGTTTTATGTTCAATAAAAATATATGAAAATTGGCGACAATAAAAAAAAAAAAGAATTGTCAATGATATCCAGTGCAGAATTGTTCAAAATCAACGAATTTGACAAGAAATTCATTCAACATGATCCATCGTCAAACTACAGAAATTTTTCCAGCTTCAAATCATAATGGATGAAGAACAATTCAACATACATTCTGAAAATATTTCAGAAACAACAAAGGGCTCTTATTTTGGAAGTAACTGCACAATTGCAAGCCGACCATTCAACTAGTATACAAAGCTCAAATCAAGTGACGTGAAAAGTTCAGATAACACGATATTTATGTGTTTCAATTGAAAGTGATCATTACAATAGTCTAGCAGCATTTTTATGCCAGAAAAACTTCATCTTATGAAGATTTTCTGAAATCATTTATTTAAAAAATTGCTAAATCCCAAGAAAAACCTTGTTTTGCAGCACTATTTTTTCAAAAACATCACCATACAATTTCAGAATTTTTGGCAGCACTTCAACGTGAGCTAGCACTATGTGGATTCTCTATCCAATGTTCTTGTTAACAAACTTTTTTGATTGCCGAAATTTTCCTTCGTACACAATTTATCAGTGGTAAACATGACGATTGGCTCCAAAAACAAATTCTACACATTCCAATACAACCAGTTTTGATGAAATTCTTGTTGAAGTCATTTTTCTCGAGGCTTCAAAAATCTAAAGCAAATAACTAACTCAATGTACAAGTTTTAATCACAAAAATTCCAATGCATGTGGTGTTAACAAAGTAGTGTATTCATCTAGATGTACTGGTTTTCAGCATAGTTCCCCTAATTTTCGACACATATCTCGTTCTCGATCTCATCTGCCCGACATTTAAGCTTTAGGCATTGAAAATCTTTGCCTGAAATGTGGAAAGAATAATCATAAAGCAGGTGATAGATAGATAGATATCTATCTTGTATAATCATGTATATGTATCTTGAATAAAAGATAAAGGAAATACTTTGTCCGAGAAATACGACAGTAAACAAAATTGCAAAGGGTAATAAGACACAAAATTTGAATAAAACACTTCACATGCACATATAAGTATAGCGTTAATAAAATAATATTTAAAATGGACTGTTAAAATATTCATCTATAGTATAAGGCTCTAGATTGCATACAAATTCTTTCACAGACTTCAGAAAACTGCTGGCCAACCCAATGTTTCTTATATCCTGTGGGAGAGAGGTAAAAAATGTAATCGCACTGTAAACAGTACTTCTTTCATACAGATATTTCTTATGTATCGGATATGAAAAATCATTCCTAAATCTGGTTCCATACTTATGTGTTTTATGATGCTTTTCAAAGTAACTTGGTTGATTTATTAAAAATTTTAATGACAACTCGCCTTTCTTTATTACACAGATTCGCAAAATTTTTTCAGCATTAAATTTGAGCAGCAGCTATTTCACAATTTTAGGCAGCATAATTAGTTAAACAAGACGAAGATTATAGAGAGAGCATGAATACCTTCAATTACTGTTTCAGTATTATTTTCACCCGGCCGTGCTTGGTATCGCATGTTATTAAAAAGTAAAACTATCGTCTTCTCCAGCGATTCAAATCCAATGTAAATCTCTACTTTCACATAGGCACCGCTCTGAGAGCGCCTTAAGGATTTTCCTGTAGTGCTTGTGTTTTGTCCTTGAAAAAAACTGCTAATCCTCTAGTCTTATCCAAATGTCTATCAACTGTGCTTGATTTTGCTGGACTTAAATTTTAGTTCATGTTTTGACATTTGTGTTACAAAATAAAAATAAATCCATATTACTATTTTTCAGGTTTGAAGGAGGTGGATTTTTGGCGTGAGTTGCTATCTTCCTCAGAGGTTTATACATGCTGAGTTAATATCCGGATGTATAAACCTCTTAAGAAGCTAGCCACTCACGCTAGCGAAACGTCAGGAAGAAATTCCAAAAATCCACTGCCTTCAAACCCGAAAAATAGTGACAATGAAAACCTTTACTGCGAAAGTAGCCAGTGTGCCAGTAACCACCGAAAGTAAATACCAATTACAATGTTGACATACCTTTACTAATGAAAAACTGATTGAATTTTTTTTGCAGTTGTTCCAATCACTGGAAGCTGGAAAATGGCTACCAGAAGAAGACTTTGAGTTGAACGATTTTTCACCTGCTGTCCAGGTTTGTAAATACTAGGATAGGTTTTTTAATATGAAACAAAATAATATAAGATTCCTTAACTCATTTTCAAATGAGAAGTTTCTTTTTACAAGTTTTTATTGCGTGTATGTAAGTGCGAGTGGGATTATGAGTGGGAGTGTGTGGGTTTGTATGACTATAAGTGTGTGTACATGTATATGCTCGGATCAAATTTTGCAACTGAATTTCGAAACATTTATCCTAAAACTATTAAGCTAAAATTTTGTATATCTGTTCAGTTTGGAGTGTCTCCATTCTACATCCAACATGGCGGACCGGCCAAGATAACGGACTGTTTTTTTTATGCGCCTCCATGTTATAAATATCAAATGCTGATATGAGTACTAACAATAACATGACGTCACACTAAAAATGGCGGAATAGTCCTTTGTGCACTCCCATGATATGACTATCAAATTGAAGGGTTCCATGACACGAATACGAAAATATTATGACTTTCCTCTAAATCCAATATTGCAGACTATCCAATATAGCGGAGTAGTTTTTTTTATGATCCCCATGATTTGGGTATCAAATAAAACGGTTTGCTGAAAAGAAAATGGAAAAGAAATTGACGTCACTGTAAATCAAATATAGTGGACAACCAAAGATAGTGGACTATGTTTTTTATACAATCCCATGATATGGATATCAAATGGAAGCGTTTAAGGGAAAAACAATTTAAAATGGTGCAAAATAATTTCAAAGGGTTATAATTAGCCAAAAGTTAGGGTGGTGCCCAAACAAATGTTGGACTGACCATTTAACAATTAGGCATTAAATGAAATTAACAGACGAAGAAGCATGTCAAGTGATAATTGAAAGTTAAAAAAATAATTGATAGCATGAAAACATTTTTAGTATAAGCTTTCATTCACAAGCACTAGAAAGAAGAAAGTAAGTTTGAAAGTAAAAGAAACCCACACACAATTTTTATGATATAGATTTACCTTCAGAGAAACAACAATACAATATGTAATTTGATCTCACCATAGATAGATAATTCTCGCGACTAGCCACCTTGAACTTTGAAATTGGTATCCTAAGGTGCTACGATGGGGGACTATTTATATTTCGGGAACTAGCAACACTAATGTCAATAGGTAAAATGTGGCAAAGCCATAATAATGTTACATAAACGTACTTACAACGTTTTGATGTATAAGTGCTATTTGTTTTGTTTACAGTGAGTTGAGAAAATCAATTTGACCAAAAAATGGAAATTTCAAGAGAAGGATTTCGTTGGATTATTTTTCACAACTTTCGACATGAATTATCTCAACAAGAATGTGTCGATGAACTCAGTTCTTTGTATAGCGATAAAGCACCATTAAGAACAAAATTATCGGTGGTATAGTGAATTCAATTGTGGTCGTAGTTTGGTCGCCGACAAATTCCGAGAAGTTCGTCCAAAATCGGTTGTTGTGCCACAAAATATAGATGCAGTGCCTGAACTGATAAAGCAAGATCGTCATGTGACATATTGTGAGGCATCCTTGCACATTAGTTCCACTTCAATACATTCGATTGCATGAACACTTAGTTGTAAAAAAAAGTTGCCCTCATTGGATACCCCATGATTTATCAATCGCTCCAAAAAAAAGCTCAAGTCAAGTGGTGTAATGAAATGATGGAAAAGTTCCACCGTCGTGCTTCAAAAGGCGTGTATAAAATCGTGACAGGTGACGAATCATGGATATATGTGTATGAGCCGGATACAAAACAGCAATCGAGCGTGTGAGTATTCCAAGACGAGCTAAATCCCACGAAAGTTGTTCATGGAAGAAGCACAACAAAGCAAATGGTCGCCTGTTTCTTCGGCTGAATGGGGCATGCAGCCACTGTTCCGCTTGAGCAACGTAGAACGGTCAATTCTCTGTGGTACACGACCATTTGTTTGCCGGAAGTCTTCGGAGAAATTCGTAAAACTAACCACCGAAAACGAATCATTCTCCATCATGAAAATGCAAGCTCTCACACATCTCGTCAAACAGGTGAATGTTTAAGCAGACAAAACATAGAATTGATGCCTCATTCTCCGTACAGTTCTGATTTGACATTCAATGACTTCTTGTTCCCGAAGTAAACTGCCTGGTTAACGATTTACGAGCGCCAAAGAAGCAGTTGAAGCATTTAAAAACCATGTTTTGGAGGGGTCCCAAGAGGAATGGAAAAACTGCTTTGACAAATGGTTTGAACGAATGCAAAAGTGTATTGATCATCAACGGGAATATTTCGAATAACAATAAAGCCATCTTCATTGACAAATGTTCGTTATTATTTGTTATTCCCAAAATATAAATAGTACCCCAGAAAGGTTTTTCCACAGACAATCAGTAAAAATAATCACTTTGAGAAATACGGAAAATTAATGTTTGGGTTTAACTTAAACAGGACATTGTATGATATGGAAAACTTCACCAGAAATTTTATACTATGTGTTCATATCACATACTTGGTGCTTCATTTATTGAAATGAGAATGAAGTGTAAAAGAAGCTTTTGAAAATCAGGTATGATACATGAAAAGAAAAAACATTGCCTCCATTTGAATGATTATCAGGGCCATAGTAAAAAACTAATTCTTCTAATGATCATCAAATTACTGAATATTGTGTGAACATTACTGAACAGAAAACTTCTAGAAAAAGTTCAGATGTGTTTTCAAAATATCAAAGTAAATCTTCTGTAACTATCTTATTTGAAAGTACACTGTTGTAAAATGTATATTACATGCGAGTTCATCCAATTTATTGAAGAAAAAAAAAACGAAAAAATTAATTGTCCAAACAGGCACTAGACCCAATAATCCGGTCAGTCTAGACATTGGAAGGTACATAAATTTACAACAAGCTGCAAACGCGTGTAATTGTTCAAAACAAAGTCAAAAATAATATTTTAAAATTCTGAATGATTGCGATGCCTGGAAAAAAATTTATTCGAGGTCAAAGGTCAAAAATCTCGAAAAAATTTGGTTTTTCGCGATTTTCAGGAAAACGGTAAGTTTTATCATAAAATAACCTCAGATAAAAATTGTAGATCATAAAATTCTCTACAAAAAATGTATCAATACTTTTTTTCTTAGAGCCACAGTTCCTGAGATAGTGTGATAGTGCTCAATAGTGGTATGTTTGTTACAAAAGGAACTAAAAAATAGGTAGTGATATAGATCACATGAATATACAAGTAGCAAGGTACATATCATAATTAAAGACAAGAAGTATGAACATGTTAACACCAAAGAACAGGATAGTAATCCCTTCTCAGATGCACATGTAACTACATAATCCAAATAATCATTTACAGAGTAAAAACAGTGCTGTGTTAAATATTCACGGATCTTAGTTTTGAATGATGCACACATTGTCATCTTTGAATTGTTGTGGCAAAGCATTATACAATTTTATGCCCAGAAATCTGTAGTCTGAATAGTGGAGAAAGATCACTTTTTTCCTTGTATTATAAGTGTAATAGTAAATTCTTTGATATCTTGTGTTTTTTTACATAAAGAAGGCACTCCATAATGTAGCAACATGGTAATGGCAGGATGCTTAATTTCCTGAACAGTGGTTTACAATGATCATCATATTTACTGGATGTTATTCGAATGACATTTTTGGGCAATGAATATTTTGTGATTATCAGATTATCAAGGCATACGTCATTGTGCTATGGAACATAGCAAAATATGCCATTCTTAGATGGTCTGTATCCACATTCAGCTTTAGCTGCCTGAGAGCATAGGTAACTTTCGCAAGGCTCTTTAATAGATTCCCAATATCAGCCCTAAACACTCAATGTGGTCCTCAGATGGGGAAGTGGTGCTCATAACACGACTCTGTGTTTTTGATTCATTAAGGAATGAATAATTACAATTGAACCAGTTTTTTGATAATTCTTCTGCTTGGTTGAGAGTTTGTGCTGTATTGTTTTTGTGGGTTCACTAGTTTATAGGTTGCATCATCAGCATAAAAAATTGATTTAACTCTCTGGTCCAGATTCGAGGACAGGTCATTGAACTACGATGGGGGACTATTTATATTTCGGGAACTAGCAACACTAATGTCAATAGGTAAAATGTGGCAAAGCCATAATAATGTTACATAAACGTACTCACAACTTTTTGATGTATAAGTGCTATTTGTTTTGTTTACAGTGAGCTAAGAAAATCAATTTGACCAAAAAATGGAAATTTCAAGAGAAGGATTTCGTTGGATCATTAGAGCCACAGTTTCTGAGATAGTGTGTGAGATAGTGTGATAGTGCTCATTAGTGGTATGTTTGTTACAAAAGGAACTAAAAAATAGATAGTGATATAGATCACATGAACATACAAATAGCAAGGTACATATCATAATTAAAGACAAGTATGAACATGTTAACACCAAAGAACAGGATAGTAATCCCTTCTCAGATGCACATGTAACTACATGATCCAAATAATCATTTACAGAGTAAAAACAGTGCTGTGTTAAATATTCACGGATCTTAGTTTTGAATGATGCACACATTGTCATCTTTGAATTGTTGTGCCTAAGCATTATACAATTTTATGCCCAGAAATCTATAGTCTGAATAGTGGAGAAAGAGATCACTTTTTTCCTTGTATTATAAGTGTAATAGTAAATTCTTTGATATCTTATGTTTTTTTACATAAAGAAGGCACTCCATAATGTAGCAACATGGTAATGTTGCTTAATTTCCTGAACAGTGGTTTACAGTGATCATCATATTTACTGGATGTTATTATTCAAATGACATTTTTGGGCAATGAATACTTTGTGATTATCAGATTATCAAGGCATATGTCATTGTGCTACGGAACATAGCAAAATATGCCATTCTTAGATGGTCTGTATCCACATTCAGCTTTAGCTGCCTAAGAGCATAGGTAACTTTCGCAAGGCGCTTAGATAGATCCCCAATATCAGCCCTAAAAGCTCAATGTGGTCCTCAGATGTGGAAGTGGTGCTCATAACACGACTCTGTGTTTTTGATTCATTAAGGAATGAATAATTACAATTGAACCAGTTTTTTTATAATTATTCTGCTTGGTTGAGAATTTGTGCTGTATTGTTTTTGTGGGTTCAATAGTTTATAGGTTGAATCATCAGCATAAAAAATTGATTTAACTCTCTGGTCCAGATTCGAGGACAGGTCATTGAAATATATTATAGGGGCCCTAAGACGGACCCCTGTTAAGACCCCAAAGTTGACTGCACAACACGCGGACGTTTGGTTTTCGGATTTTACATACCGGGTACAATTTGCCAAATAGGATGAGAGGAGGTTCAAGGCAACTTCTCTAATTCCATATATTTAAGTATATTTACATATACATAAATTGAGTGAAAGATTGTTTGAAGAACACCAGAGAGCTACTTTATTCAAATCATTTTGTAGTATTCCGTTCTCATTTGGTGACTATATGACACGAAACACCTTCAGATCGTCATCAAATAATAGAATTTCACTATGTATATCTAATCCTATGTTCGACGAACAAGGAGAATAGACGGGGATCGATTCAAGAGATAGGAATAAAAGAATTTCAGCAGATTTGAACCGAAACCAATCTCATTGAGTTTTGAAATGAGTATGGTGTGGTCCAACTTGTTGAATGCCTTTGATTTGAACCGAAACCAATCTCATTGAGTTTTGAAATGAGTATGGTGTGGTCCAACTTGTCGAATGCCTTTGACAAGTCTTTATTTTGTGTCTACCTGAAGCAGATTTTCTAAAGCACAACTTATCGTTTGTGTATAAGTTATAGTAGCATTCCCGCGATAAAGCCATGTTGTTCAGGAATAATTATATTTTGTACTTTGGGATATTCTAATATAGATGTATATATCAAAGCTCTTCGCAAAGTTACACTGTAAGGTGATGGGTCGAAAGTTTTTCATGTCATTTATCTCACTTCATTTACTTTCCAAACTTCAGGAAGGTTTGCACAATCTTTGACTAAGAAGCTTGTGATTCTATCGTAGCCACAGGTAAATTTATCATTCAACTTTTTCAAAGCTGTTACAACTTCGCTCTCATTCACAGACTTGATACTAATTACAGGTCTGTTGTAAGTTACTGTTTCATTATTATCGCATTGTGCATCAGAGGCTGCTGAAGAATGCACAAAACCATAAATTTGATGTTGCAGGTGATATTCTGAGAGGATTTGATGAAAACAAGGTTATATTTCTGATACTCTTAGACTTCACCATAGCATGTTCAATCACGAAGTATGAAAGTGTTCTGAATCTTTTTAGTTTTTTGACACAGCCATCTGATACACTAATTCCTAACAAACAAAAATCAGAGAGTGTTACATGAAAATCAGACATTGAAGAGATCTTAATTAAAAATAATACAGAAAAATTTTTAGACTGCATTGATAGCTTCAATTTAAAACAATTAATTGATACGCCAACAATAATCACTAATTTTACTTCAACTTTACTTGACGTTATAGTATCTAATGAACCAATAGTTAATCACCTCGGCACTCAGGACACATCTCACATTTCTGATCATAATTTAGTGTTCATTCCAATTCAACATGAAAATGATAGAAATGAGGAACAGTTTTTTACATATAGAAATTTTAAGCGAATCAACAGAGATCATTTGCTGCAGCTGCTGTTACTGATGAAATTTCGTTTTTTCAGGATGTTAATGACAAGGTTAAATATTTTACTGATTTGATGCTACTCATAATTGATACTGTTGCGCGAGTAAAAAAAGTAAAAGTAAGGAAGGTCCAACAACCATGACTCTCTGATAATAGGTCTAAGGGATAGAGCTCTTAGAAAATTCAAAAAAACTAAGAACGTTCCTGTTTGGAACTATTATAAATTACTAAGAAACCAAACCAATATCATGAGAAATGAGAAAAAAGCATATCTTAATCAGGTTATAAGTGATAACCATAATAGTAAATTATTATGAAATAAACTTGAAGATGAAATTAATATAGATATGCTACTTTTTTGCCGTCATATAATACTACCATGATAAATGTTTTATTAAAACAACGATAAAAATGAAAATAACAATAAAAATTAATTNAACAGTACCCTTCCAGTACATGTTGTTTTTGGCCTCATTTGTAGTTTTCCTTTTATTATTTTAATAGATTGAATAATTATTGTATTTATATGTAATAAGGAACTACAAATAAATATTATTATTATTAAATGATCTATTTTACATATATTGATATGAGATGTGTTATTCAATTAAGTTGGTGCTGAAGCAAATAGATACCCCACAACGTAATTGAATTAAAATAGTGCTTGTAAAGCTAGCGACAACCGTTTAGTTTAGAAATTGGTGATTGTTAGACTTGTGAAATAAATACATTTTTTTTTTCAATAGCAATGCCGTCTCCAACGTCAAGCCTTCGGACCATCCTATTCAATGGACATTTTTCAAGATTGTGGTAATATATTCATTGCTAGAGAGAGCATTCCAAGATGTTCGGACTTGAGAGAATTAGTGACATTATGCAAAGGGAAATTTACAGCTAATGCAAGAAAAGCAAAAATAATAGTTGGAGAGTCGTTGAGGTATGAGGGAGTAATATGTGTCAAAGAGAATTGGATACTAGATTCAATAACATTCAACAAGAAAATGTCTTTTAAAAAATATATTATTTCTTGAAATATTTCAATGGTAACATTTAGTTTGATGTATTCTGACTAGTCAATCTTTATTTTTTATTTATATTTTCATATTGCCCTGTTATATCAAGAAATATATCTCCATTAATTTTATAGGATTTTTTCTTTTTCACTTCCCCTTTCTAAGATCAGATATATGACTATCTTGCAAATTCCATCGATGCTTTCGATGGCATCGATAGCATTACTATTTTTTCCACACATTCACAGTATTGATTCTACTATATTTTATATCAGGTAAGTACAAGAAATTATTTGGTGAGTTCATAAGATACCAGTAATTTCCCTAAATATAAATTTGAAGGAAATCTTTCGATGTTGATGAACAGTCTAGTTCATCATCGAAAGAGTATTGTTGTTGAGAAGAGTATTCTAAATTAAAAGACTCTTCTCAACATACAGTGCATTTCTTTATTGCCCCCCCCCCTTTCATTTTCATTTTCATTCAACTCAAAAAATTGAAATTTGTGAAGTTGTAAAGTATTCCTCAGGAGGATACACTACAAAAACACACTTTTGTCTATTTTCCACGTTATTTCTTTATTGTTGACTAGTTTCGGCTATTACACCATTTTTAAAACTAACTGATTACATTTAAATCTGAGTAATTTATACCTAAGTTGCCTATCCTATCATAAATAATTTGGTACCTACATTTTGTATACCTGTAATATCCATGAACATAACAAAACAAAGCTTTTGATATAATGTAGGTTTTGGGAACTGGATTATAGATTCAGGAGAGGACTATTATTTAGATCAAGTTGTTCGTTGAGGACAATAGAATTGGGATTTTTCTTTGACTTGTTTATTTCCATAGATT